AAGGGAGAGGCAGGGGTATAAGAGGGAGAGAGGACAGGCAACGCGGTGACACGGGGCAGGTGAGGACAGACGGACGGAAGCGAAGGGAGGTCAGATCAAGTCGGAGGGTCGGGCGGATTGTGTGCAGGATGGCCGGCGTACGGGAGAAGGCGGAGGATGTGTGAAGCGAGGAGGCTATCGGCGGGAGAAAAGCCGCTGTTCAAGTTAAAATTAGGCAGCAGCTTTATTAAGGAAGATTCCTCCAGTCTGCGGGCGTGGACGTCAGCGGAGGGGAAGACAATACGCGCCGCTGACCAGTCCATCTGATGGCCTGTATCCCACTGATGGCAGAAGAGAGCGTTGTTGTTGTGTCCCCTGGATATAGCGCTTAGTGAGACTAGCGCCCGTCTCGCCAAAGTATTGCTTGTCACAGGATTGCCCACCTTCGAGGAAGAGGGAGGCCTGGTGTGGACCAGGTTACGACAGAGAGTGTTCACCTGGCGAAAGATTAGCCTGCAATTGAGAGTGTGAAGAGGGCGGCGGAGAGAGTGGATCTCCTCCGTGTAGGGCAGGCTGAGGGTGGGCAGGTGAGGAGTCTCTTTAGGAGAGGACTCGTGGTAGAAGGTCCGCCGTGCTCTGGATAGCGCGGCGTCGAGGACATGACGAGGGTAGCCCAGTTTGGAGAACGAACGACGCAGAAAGTCGATCTCTCCATCCAGGTACTGGGGGTCACAGATGCGGAGGGCGCGGAGGAACAGCGACGTGGCAACACCTCTCTTTACATGAAGAGGATGGTAAGAGAAGAAGTGTATATACATACCACTATGCATGGGCTTCCTGTATATGGAGAAGAAGTGGTCAAAGGAGCGATGAACTAGGGTGTCCAGGAAGGGGAGCTTGTTGTCAGCCTCCCATTCCACCTTGAAACGGATGGAAGGGGAGAGAGAGTTCAGCTGGGTCAAGAAGTCCGAGAACAGGGTTTTTCTACCATACATATATATGTTTATATATACCTGCAGACATATATACACACATAACAGATTCATATAAATAAAGTATATATACATATATGTTTATATACACATACATACACACACACACACACACACACACACACACACACACACACACACACACACACACACACACACATATATATATATATATATATATATATATATATATATATATATATATATATATACAGATATATGCACACACACACACGCACACACACACATATGTATGTATATAAATACGTATATTAATTCATATGTATATATATATATATATATATATATATATATATATATATATATATATATATATATATATATATATATATATATACGCTCCGTCGCCGCCGTGGCACAAGTGTTAGCGCGGTTGATTAGGGAGGGCATTCACTCAGGCAAAGGTGAAACTGTCAAATAACTTCTCAAATAAAGAATTAAGAGAGGCCGATTTCCTGCAGTGGAATAAATGGTTGTTGAAAAAAATATATATATTGATATAAAAATACTTATATCAGTATGTATATATTTATGTATATATATATTCATATATACACATATATATTCATGTATATACATATATACACATACATATACACATATACAAATAAATAAAGTATATATACATATACATAAATATGTGTATGTGTGTGTATTCATATACATACATATATATATGTATATAAATATATATATATATATATATATATATATATATATATATATATATATATATATATATATGTATGTATATATATATATATATATATATATATATATATATATATATATATATATATATATATATATATATATATATGTATACATACAGACATATACATATACATATAAATGAATTATATATACATGTATACATATATACATATATATTCCATCTCCATCATCAGACTAGAAATAATGAACATAAAACATTATCAGATAAAAAAACAACAACAAGAATAGTCAATAATATAAACAATAATAAACAGTTACCAGAATGGAATACAAAGAAAAGAGCAGAGATATTGTGGAAAAAGTACGAGACATGTATAAGAGGGCGAGACATACCTAGATAAGTGAGAACTGCTCGTTACGATAATTGCATCATACCGTAAACAAATGGATAGCTGTACTGTTGTTCAGATCAGGTTTCTCTTGTGGTTGTAGAGAGATTCTGAGATTATAAGGTCGAGTCTGTTAGATGTTGTGGACATAATTTTTATTATCATCATAGATTTACCCATATGTTCAAGTATTCTATGTTTAATCCATCGTGTAGAAGATACAATATACGTAGCATCACATCTAGGACGAAAAAACATACAATATTTGAACATAGTTCTGAAGGCAGAGGCGTGTTCTTAAAGGAAAAGTTGGTATTAAAATAGTTAACAAGAACAGTGTTTTAGTATCTCACGTAGTTATTTACGAATGACTTACATATCCGAGATACGGTAATTTTATGTACTTAGTTTCGTAGGGAGCAGTATGGATATATTAATGGTTAC